CTAATTTATTCTATTCTGCCCTATTCTATTCTATTCTGTTCCATCCTACCTCACTCTATCCCATTCTATTCTACCTTACTCCATTCTATTCTATTCTATCCTATTCTAATTCTATTCAATTCTATTCTACTCTATCATATTCTCTTCCATTCTATTTCATTCCATCCCATTCTATTCTATTCCACTTTATTCTCTTCCATTCCATTCTGTTTTATTCTACTCATAACATCAATTTGAAATGTGTTCAGGCAATAACACCTCCTAATTTCATCTTATGATAATAATTCCATCTGGAAAAGAAAAAATGTCACAATAAATAACATCAAACTTTTTCAATTCTTTTCTCTTCCTTTTCTCCCTCTTTCTCTCTCTCTCCCTCTCTTCCTCCCCCTCACTCCCTCTTCCTCCTTTTTTTTCTTATTACTTGTTGAATAAGTTTAATTTAATAAAACTATACCTTAAACCAGTAATATCTAAAGTTCTCAATAGTTACTAACAACATTTTCCAAGGATAATTGTTATCAATTTTATCACAATTCAATTTTCTCAAATTTTTTTTTTTTATGAAATATGAATTCGATGAAATATAAAGAAAAAAATTGAAAAGTATGCATGACAGAAGCGCAAAGCGCAAAATCACACTTCTGCGATGTCGTTTGTCATCATTATTTAGTATTTGTACAATTACTTTATATATTGATATGACTAATAGTTGATCTTAGGTGACATTGCAATGATTCCCAATTAATTCAACAATGATATATTAGCGATGATAACATGACAATAGCGCCAAAATATGCATAAATACGAAAATTAAGGCGAGAAGATGTAAACAAAAAACAAAAAGAGCATAAATTTTTTAAAAAAAAGTAAAATGGAAATTTTAGAAATTTCGTTAGCCATTCAAACGATATGAATATGATTAAAACAAATAATGCAATAATCAATAAGACCGTATTTGTCATATTAATCAATGCACTTAAACCACCTGACAAATGACTAATGCGCCCATCATCATTGTCATCATCATCGAATTAGTCATTCATGTAAAACTATGCTGTAATGTCAAAAGTACTAATTTATTGATTTCACATCGAAGTGTTTTTTGATAGTGAATTACGTGATAATTTACGTACTTTCACGTACGTGAATATGAATGAAATGCTAAATAATTGTAAAATTATTTTTCACACTTCATTAATTAGTATAAATAAAATCTCCCTATCTCCTTTTTTTTTTTACAATTAATCAATATTTAGAAAAAAAATTTGGATTAAAAAATAATTTAAATACAATTAACTTATTCATATTACATGTTAATACGTTAGATATAAATATGAAACGAATTAAACCAATGAATTAATTTTTACCAGTCAATTAATTAATTAATTAATTAATATAATAAATGAAAAAATTTATGAAAAATCATCATCTTGCAACAGTGCAGTACATTTCTTAGTAGTAAATTACATGTTAATTTGTTTTATTAAATGCTAATTAATTGAATTTATCGAATGTAATTTTACAATTAATCCATTTCTTTTACCTCAGAACCTGAAAATAAAAAAAGAAAAAAAAACCAACTAACCCTAATCCATGAATTAGGTAAACTTGCTGGTAACATACATTCGATTGCACTTCCTTCAAACATCTTCCAGGTTACTATGGTACTTGCTGCTATTAGTAAATTTGTTGTTAGAAAATAATGCAAACGATCGATGTTATCATCGCCAGATTTTAGACTAATTACTTTCAATGATTTTAATAGCGTTTCAATTGACATTTGTAATTGTATAATCTGAAAGATTTTTTTTAAAAAAAAAAAAGAAAAAACAAAAGGAAGAAAGTTGAAGTAATTAATTGGTTGAAGTAATTAATTGAAATTAATAATTTTTCACATTTACATCAAATAAATTTCACAATTTAAGGTAAAATTAAGCGTAACAATTTTTAAATGCCTAATAGACTCTTGAGAAAGTTTGGAAAATTATAAAAATGATTTTGTAATAATAATTAATAATAATAATAATAATAATAATAATA